CTCTCTTTGCCCCACCCCAACTTCAGCTGCCTGTTGGGGTCCTCACACCGCACAGTCTCCTCAGAAAAACTGTATTTCATTGCTTTTACTTTCCCAGGCTATTTCCAATGCAAATAGCACCTCTCTGGGAAAAATCCTGTTTGACAGTTACAGGCTCTCTCCCTTCAGCAGGTTCCTAAACCTGGGCAACTGCTAAAATGCAGCCCCCCTGCCAGACGTCTTTGAAAGGGAGAGAGGGAGAGGAAGAAATCAGGGTTTTATTGTTTGCTTTAGATCTTTTATTGCATCCAGCGACCTCTTTGCTTGATAGCTTCTACATTGGGTGTGGGGAGGCGTCTCTTTCTGACTGCACAGCTGCATTTGACTTACGCTTTGTCCTTGTTCTTCTCTGATTTTCTGTGCAATCTAGATTTTTCCCACTGAGATGCTCTTTATTTTTTTGTTCTCAGTAATTCTCGCCTCACAATCCTGTCTGCCTGCCTGTGACATGCCCATTTAGTTAACTGAATTACGATATCCTGCTCACCTGCCCCCACCCTTTGCTGCACGACCAGAGAGAAGAAACCTTGTTTGCTCTGAAGAGGAAAGCTTTTAGAGTCACCATTCCCCAAATTTATACTACTGTTTCTGTCCTGTTTTCAGTTCCAAAGCGAGGTGTATGACAAAAGAGCAGGATTCAAACCTAGACATAAATATAGAGTTTTAAGAGAGAGATTTGGTGGGTGAGTCCGAGTTCAAAGCACTGCAGAAACACAAATAGTGAATAGGTCTGAGGTTTAGGAATAAAGTCTTCTAGCCACTTACGGCAGCAGCTGGAATGTGCTGGGGAGGCTGAGCTCGGTCCTCATTAACTGCATTTGCCTTGGTGCTCCTGGATGGGGTTCAGTCAAGGGCATCTCTAGGAAGCCCATGTGCTGTTCCCCAGCCTGCACCTCCTCTCGCTCACTGCAGCTTCTCTTTGCAGAGATATTCATTTACTTGTCAGAGAAAGGAGCCTCTCCGCACTTGGGCACAGAGAGGATAATCACTTCAAACACTTTGCATCTAGCCAGTCTGTGGTCCCCCTTCATCTAAAAACCAAACCAAAAATGCCTTGCAAAAAGTCACAGAGTACCAGATCAGCAGAATAAGTTGTTTCTGTGGACCACGGGCACAAGAGTACTCAGCCACAAGGGCATGGAAGGGCTTTGGGGGTGCGATGTTTCTGCTGACAGCAGCAGGATACCTTCAGAGTGCAGAGACCTAGCAACTTATTTTTGCACTGTGCCCTGCGGCTGGGGGGAAAGGCGCTGGGCCTGAATGTCCAGCCACAATGAGCAAGTCCCCAAAAAAGAGGTCGTCTTTTGATAAAAGGCCCATTGCCAGCCACAGCCCGTTCCCAGCTGCTGTGGTGGGAACTTCGCAATTCTCACAGCAATCTTCCCAAAAGTCCTTTCTCTCTGCAAGGTCTGGTTTCCCTGGATGGGTGTTCACAGGGCAGCTTGCGCAGAGCAGAAAGGGGTACGTGAGAGCATGCGAGCACGAAAGATACGTGGCTCAGCTCTGGCGCTCAGCCCACCGCCACGCTGAGTCAGCTGGGAGGCCGTGCTGGCTGCGCCAGGGCCAGGGCTCTCCCTTCTGTTGGATCACCAGCCAGAGCACTCGGCTGTGAGTGCTACAAAGCAGCACGCTCCGGGGTAATTTGAGGGAGGGGGCTGGCCAGGGCAGGGGGGGAAATGTGTTTCAGACCGACAGAGCCCAGTATTTCAAAAAGCAGAACTGGAGCACAGAGAGGGCATGAAAACCAATCTCCTCCTCCTCCTCCACTGCTGTCTGTCTTTGTTTGCTTTTATCTTCCCTCCGCAGCTTGAATAGCTGCTGACTGTATGTCAACGCTGTTTGGGGAAGAAGTGTGGGTTAATGAAAGTC